ACATCATCTGAAAAAATGTTTCAAGAAGTGGTAGCCTCAGTTTCTTCATTGCATCGCTCGCACTAACTTACAGATACTGACACAAATAGTACATGTGTAAATTTTAGTGCTTTCTTGATACGCGTTTGTCTCGATAAATTACGCCTGCGTTCGTCTACAACAATTTATCTACGTCTACGTTTCGTTTTATTTCTTTTCACTGTACGTTTTTCACACCGTCCACTCAAATCAGAATCAAAATTACACTCTCTCTTGCAGAGAGCATGTAGAAAAGTGAGTATTTCAATTCGGATCTCCTATCATTCGCCAAGAACGTGAAACATACCGCAGCTTGTCATCATGGGGTGATGCCGACGGTCTCTCAGAAGTAGATCAAGATTCAAGATTAAGTGTTTGGATGGCTTGCAAACGAAAGCGAAAAAAGCTTAAAATACGACGTACCTGAGGGAACCAGTTCGAGACCCCGTGCCACTGCGCCATTCAACATGGCGTAGCGGCGTGAATTCTAATATCAGTGCAATATAGGCAAGCATTTTAATGAGAGTCGACAGCCATGCGGTAGCGTGGCCTAAGCGAGAGCTTAGTGCATTAACCCGATAAATTTCGGCTCCGAATCGGGGCGAAGGCGGATTAACCACCATCAGAAGAACAGCCTTGGCATCCATGGTGGTGAATCCCGGCGATGATCGGATACAATCAACATAATTCCGGCTACAACAAGCTATTCACTCAGGTACACGCGGACAAACGCGGATTCCTATCATTTTATTGCGCGACAAGCACGAGAGGAGTAGAGTATTAAGGGATATTCCGTTAGTTTTCCATTAATTAATGCCAGCGGTACAGGACGCGGTTCCACAGTTATTTCCTTTCGTATATTATTTCGATTTCGTACATTTCTCGATGCCATTCACTTTTCCAACCTTTACTATTTCTCTTTCTTACAATCTCTCTCACCTATCACTTTTCGCAAGGCTGTAATAAATAGAAAGATGTTCGTGGCACAATAGTGCTTATCTTTTTATTTCCCCCCCATCAAACGGGTTAACTGTAATTAAACTTAAACCTGTCAAGGGACTCCACACACGCGGGGAAGGTCTCGGTATAAAAATAACTAATTATCGTGACCGTACTTTGAGCAAGGAGGCGCAAGGAAGAGTGTTCGATCGTGTCAAAGACGCGCCGCTTCCTAGACACGTAGGATATTTCGCAGCATATCGTTTAAGGCATGTATTAGGCAACGTGGCGTAAAGCAGAGGCGATCATCCGTGCTATCGTTCCAGCGCAGCGATTTACGTCGACCGCGCGCTCGATCGAGGTTCACTTTCTTTTTTTAGTAATGAAATCGAGCTCCCCGAAGTTAGTCGGTATGCTCGATTGGCCCTCAAGCTACTGTCTTTGTCTTTTGCGCACCTTTTTCACTTGCGACACATCTCTCGGAGTGTCTTAATAGTATTAGCGGGATTCCGCGGGCAGATCTCCACCTCGAACGTCGACATTAACAATCTGAAATGTGCAAATTGCGCCATTGACGGTTGAGAGCAAGTTTGTCTCTTTATGATCGTTGCTATATTTTATTTGCATCGATTTTGTCTCTACCACCGTTAAAATGTTAATTGATATTTGAAGTAGCTCTCAATTTTACGTGAGCTGTAATACTACCAATAATTATTTTCTTAAACGTTGATTTTCAAACAAACAATATGAATTGTGCAATGCACAAACTCAGCACGATTGTTTCGACTGCTTGACGAATTAATGTTTATTCAACTGTAATTTTTAAATGACACGAGCGATTACAAATGCCGATTATTCCAGTTTTTTATATGACGTAAAGTAATTGCGAACACTTTTGGTAATTGAGTTTTTCAATTAAGAATGTAGCAATATTAAAAATAAAATGTTTTAAGTAAGCGGGTAGGCGTCACAATTATCGGTGTGGTCGTTCGACTGTTAAAAAGAATTAGAAGTAATATGCGCATTCATAAATGTTCCCTCTTCTGTAAAGCCTTTATAAATATATAAATACAACTAAATAGGCGTGCCTATGTAACTATTTTGAGCTTTATGCAATCTGCAGGAAAACAATATAGTATTGTAGACTTTTTAGAAAGATAAAATAAATTAAAGCGGCTCACATGCACGAAAGAGCACATAGTATATATGGATGCTTTGATGAAGCTCCTTTCATCTTTGTAAATTTATGACTTTTTTCATAAAATATATCACCTAATGCATTATTGATCAAACGGATTGATATGCTAAGTTATGTATGCACGTTTAAAAATATGCAACGTTGTCAAAACTCGTGTTTTTTTCTTTACTTTACTAACAAATATTTGCTTGTGCAGAAATCGGTGATCTCCTATATTCAACACTGCATTTCAATTCTTATGACATTTATTATGTTTATCTCGTTTCTCCTTCTGCGAGCGATCGGCCGATAACCCTCGTGTTAAAAAGTACAACTTTAACATTTTTTAACGAAAAAGACACCTGGAGACGAGAGTTAAAGAACACATCAATAATATAAAAAAGATTGATGAGAACCAGTCAGTCGTCAGTGAGCACCGCGCTATATTAGGACGCGAATTCAACTGGACTCATCCAGACATCCTACGCCGAGAAAAACACATCAGAAGAAGAGAAATCGCTGAAATGCTACACATAAAAGTGGATCCGAACACCATTAATTCGAAGAAAGACACTGAGAATCTTAACTCTATTTATGACTCTATTATCAATTCTATGACATGAACTGTTATTTATGTGTCACTCTCTTCTTCTCGATGTTTTTCGACCTACACGGCCTAGCTAGTCGATAATTGCGACAGTCACTCTCCATCCTTCGTAGAATACTTACATGTTTTGCGATCACTAGACGAATAGAATTTTTATAATTGTGACTCATCAAGGAAGGCTTTTAATGTCTCTATGTTCATCAAATGAATACTAAGGTGAGACTGGCGTTCGATTTATCTAATTTTTAACGTCGTTTTTATTTTAAATAAAGGCCTTGGCCAGTGTAGGTCGTTTTTATAAAATACTCATCATTATCTAATTTTTGTTTTATGATATCCACGCAGACAAACCAGAATCATTATGTTCATTCTATTTATATATTTATTACATCAAACACACTCTAGATATAAGGTTCAAATCATATTTTACTTTAGTAACGGCTTGAGAAGGACCAGAACCGATGGTCGAAACGTCGCCTGTATATCCCATTTTGGAAAATACATTAAACACATGCCAGATAAGGTCGACTAAAATTTATTATATTTAACATTTTTTCTTTCTTCTATCTCTTATCGGCGACCTAAAATTTTGTGTACCGATAGCTAAAACTTGCAACTGCACATACTCAAATTTTAATCTTTTCTACTTTTGATCTGCTTATACAGGAGTCATAATGTTCTACAAATACACTTTTTATTAAGTATAATATTTTAGCTATTTTTTAGAGTATTGCTCTGTACCTTCATTTCAATCTATTCTATTAAAAGTCTTCTATCATTGCTCTATAAATATCAGAATATTAAAGTTTTTTTCATACAGGCACATATGTATTTATACATTTATAAGAACGCGATATAGAGTAAAGGTCGTTGGCATGGCTACGACGTGTCAACCGAGTGAGTTCATTTGCCGAAAAGCTTTTTTGAGGAAAGAAGAATCTTAGGGGAGCAATCTGGGCAATTCATTATCGCTGCAAACTGACTGCAATTAGATTAACGGAACGATTAAGCAAAAATTAATATGACTCTAAAGGATCGCGAAATTTTTTAGGTAATCTACAATAAAATTGTTATTGCGACCTTAAATATGACTAAATTAAGAAATAAAAACAAGACAATGGCTGAATAATCTTTCTTTGTTATATAATCTCGCTTTCTTCTGTTTGAAAAGCAATGTACTTTAAGCCAGAAAACCTTAGCATCGACGTTACCTGAAAAATTAGAATTTTTTTTCTTAAGAGATGAGCGTACAATTGTGTAAAAGATGACACGAAAATAAATTTAAAACCTACAAGAATTTTCCATATCGAATACATAATCATTTGTAAGCATAAATATTTGACGAGCGAGCAACATCTTTAGTATTTGAATTAATCAAAATAATAAATTGACAACATCGCTGACTTTCTCGTTAATATGCTAATCGAAGTCCGTGCTGATCTCAATCTTCTTGCTTATGACTAGGAACACCGGACATGCGTAAGTTCTTCCTTCCTATGCTCGATCGATTCATTTAATTTTAACAGGAACTAATTAACTTGCTAGACTGATTTCCTTTGTTACAAGGTAATCTACGTCGATACTTGTAGGGCGTGATAGACGTAATCAACTGCGTCGTAGGGCACTTTATCATTCACGGTCTCGCGGACAAAGTCACAGTTAACGTTATATTACCCAGAGTAAATAAATGCCGTTTAAATATGCTATTTTCATGAGACTCTTTCCAAGTATTTCGTTTGAAAGACTGACGCTAAAGGTATACATTTGAATACGATGAATTTCGCAAAACTCCACTGTGAGTGATGTTCTCTAAACTACGATTTTTTAATCGCGACGTATTACAATTATTAAACAATGCGTATTTACATGGAATACTTTACATAGAAAGATTACGTCATTTGCCTCAAAGCATTGCGTATTTTATAACAAAGACGTAAATTGATATATGAGAATGATCTTAACTTTTTTTACAAACAATTTAACAAACAATTAAAAATCAATCGAGTTTAAACGAAAAACTTGTGGGATTTTGTACCAAAAGTTGGGAGAAGTTTAAAACAATGCCTAAGACCGGGAATTACCAGCAGCACCCAAGACGAAGAATTACTACAAAAGATTATTAATTCAGCGCAAATGTCAAATAGGGAAAATCTGATTAATGCTTGCGCGTAGAGGAGAGTCTGTTTAAGTTTTCCAAAACTTCCTTGCTACGTACGGAAGTTCGCCAATTTAACGGACGACTTGTCTGATTTTTCTCAGGGCTCGGCGGACTCGAACTACTCGCAGCCGAGCTCGGATCTTTCGCTGGACGAGGAGAAGGAGAGCTTGCGACGCGAGAAGGAGAGGCAGGCCCTCAATCAACTCGAAAAAGCCAGAGTAAGTCATTGATCCTACGTGCGTTCCAGTTTGCTCCACTCGCATACCTCCGTGCCATTCTCATTTTTCCGCACGCGCTGGATGCTTATCGATCGAGTGGGTGCCTCATTATCGCCGCCATATTTCCCTGATGCCTTATAAACGTCAAGAATTTGTATGAGAATCCGGACACGTATCCGGACACGTCCGCGATCTCAAGCTAGGAAGCGAAAGGAAAAGAAACGGGACTCGGCGAGGCGCCAATCAGACACTTCGCGGAAACTTCTCGCGCCCGTGGCCCAAGCCATGAAGATAAATCTAGGGAAAAATACGATCTATGATCTGTGCGAGTACTACGACTTTAAACGCGGCGGTAATGCCTGAATGCGGCAATAATGTCGGCGTTCGCGTATCAAGAAGTGTTTTACGGGGAGTATGCGCGAGAAATCTTTCGAACTATCGATACATTGCAGCAACTATTTCGTTAGGCGTGAATTTTACTTCTAAATTTTTTAAGAACCACACGCAAACAGTATTCGCTACTCGTAAATCTTACAAAAATGTTCTACTATCTAAAATTTAATTACAAAGTACGATAAGATTATAATATACCTCTCTCTTCTCTTTCTCTTGCAATATTGCTTTGCGTTTGTAAGCAGTCGAATGAAAGACTCGATCTGCCAAAAATTTCGCTTCTAGCAAATTATATATATTTAATGACAGATTGCGGGATCAAATAGTAAACACGGATGAAATTCTAAAATAGCACGAACGTCGAACGGGGGGATCTGATCGACTCAGTCTTCTTCTGCTCAACAGTGAACGGATATTGATTGGCGAGGGACGACCTTCGAAGGATAGAGCTCGTCGTAATAAAAATGAAAAGCTCCGCAATACTCTTTTATTCTTTATTGAGGCGACGATGTTGCCACTGGCAAAATGCGTCCACGCATAAGCTGACAATGTGTCGATCGGCTGTGAAGCTCGTGGCCGGCTTTTATTTTCCATTCCATACACGCGATATAGTTACACGTGTTTATGTACATACACGTCGCGATATAGGAGCTGCACCGTGACCTGATAGAAAAGTCGATAACACGGGCAAGGGAACGATGATACGTAACTAATTGTAAGCGCGATGGTACGAGACGACACCGCGTTTGTCGTCGAGATTGATGATCGTCGTCCGATTTATTTTCAGTGGCGAAATAATCTCGAATAAATTATATAAGGCAGATATTTTCAGAGTGACGCCAACCTTGTGATAAAACTGATTTGTTTAAACGTAAGCTATCTCGCAACGTTGCACGGCACGAATTGGCAAAAGATACGAATTTAACCGGCAATCGAGGAAAGAAATTCGCGTCCCTCGGTCCCATAATTTTTTAATTTACATTCCAGTCGAAGCCGGTAGCGTTTGCAGTGCGGACTAACGTGAGCTATGACGGATCCGTCGACGATGACTCACCTGTCCACGGTTCGGCCGTCAGCTTCGACGTCCGTGACTTTCTTCACATCAAGGTGCGGGCGCGCGTTCTCTGTAGATTTCTCTCTTATCGCACAATTCTAAAGGTGTCCTCGTAAATGAACGATTCCTTTTCAGGAGAAGTACGACAACAACTGGTGGATCGGCAGGCTCGTGAAAGAGAATTGCGACGTGGGTTTCATCCCGTCGCCCGTGAAGCTGGAGGCCTTAAGGTTGCAGGCGAGCGCCGCGCGTGGCACGAAGGGCCTCTACTCGACGCGAGGAGGGTCTTCAGGGAACCTTGGCGAGAGTGGTATGCCCTCACGTGGTTCCACACCACCTACGCCAGGTATCCTAGCACGTCCTTCTTTCTTTCCCCCCCAAAATTCACGGTGTACCCAATTCGGTGTACCTGATCGGGAACTTTCTCAGCTTGATCCTCGACAGAGTGAATTACAGGCGGACGGAACGTTGCTACTGGCCGGTCGAAACAAAAAAAATGTGACGAATAACACTCGCTTGAGATCCTAAGTATCCCAACTATTTGAGACATACAAACACCAGCTTCGAGATGCTTATATCGCCCCGAGAACTTTAGAACGAAGCGACTTCTGCGTAGCCCGCAAGCGAATAAGACCGCGTTAATGTTACAAAACATTTTATATGTCGAATTTAACGTTATTGTACTCTACCGGCTTGGCAGTAAATTAAAATGCTATAAGCTATCAGAATTGCTCTCTTCTTATTTGCGGGTTACACAGAGATACGAGCTTCTTCATCCTTGCTCTTTCGCGAAGAAAAATTGCTCACTACTGTGCTCTCGCTTTACACGCCCTATTAGTTTTCATTTCACTGCTAAGACCATCAGGTAAGTCACCGTATTCGTGCAACTCATCAACACACACTGCGACTCTTAGTACTGCTGTAGCTAGCTGATGATCTTCAATAGCCGCTGCTATAAGCAGAGACACGAGCATAAATTAGCGAACTATATCTAGTCTGCATCACACCAGTTGAGTGCTTCTTAATGGCTTCTTTGAGAGAAAGAGGGACTCGTCGATTGCTCGACATATAGACGAGATTTCGAGTAATCGCGAATGTATTCTTTTGACAGGTGACGACAGCGATAGCGTCGGGAACGTACGACCCGGCAAGGCCACCCTGACGACCCCACCTGCTAAGGAGAAGCGGAAGAACTTCTTCAAGAAGCCGGTAAACGTTCAGCGGGCCACGCCATCGCGAAAATCTAACGCATCACGCACAGCTTATCACTTTTTGAGCTTTTCACTTGGATTAGTAGGCGCCGTACGCCCACTGAACTGGCGTGATGCTCAATGATGTCATGCATAATAATAGATGTCACACTGAGATGATAAAAAAAAAAGTGTCTGACAACTCTAGAATCGTTTGCTCCGGTATTGATTATTGCCCACGGTTTATTTAATGCTCCTCCTTACAATTCAGATAATAGCTGTGTCCAATAGCATGATGCATTTTTCTCACGCTAGTTAGACGTGCAGACAATTCTATTAAATGTTTCTATCTAATGTACGACCTTGCGACTCTAGGCTCTGTCCATGTCGAAACAAGTTTCTTAGCATTTGGTTAGCATTTTCAAATATTATAGCAATTTTATTCACGAAAAACTTTCAGACTGAATAAGAAACATAAAACGTTGTCATGTAAACAAGGGCTTTTAGATAATGTGGCGACAAGCATTTTAGCGGTGAGTAAATAAATTTAAATGGACATTGTCTAGGATTTTAAAATTTACCAGTCGACTCCAAATAATTTAAGCTCCTTACATTAATACGACTCTCTTTCCCGCACGGATATAAATAATATTAATGTCTCTAAGTATGCAATAATGTCTGTAATATATATGTTAATATTTTTATTACTTACATTCAATTTTTTTTAAATATTATTGCAAGATAAAGATTTTAAACGTGATTAACTCTTTCACGATATTTTAGAATTTAGATAAATTATGTAGCAGATAAAATGCTATTATGTAAATTGAAGATTTATTTATTGTTACTTTGCAAACACCACAACTAGAAATTGAAACGCATATACTGCATTTATAATTTTTGAAGAAAAATATATGAAATAATTAATTAGAAAGAAAATTTTTGATATTTTCTTCCACTTTTTGACAGAAAAATACGCTTTCTTCAATAATTTATCAGACCTAAATTATTTTTTCATCAAATGAATAATAAATAATAATTACACCATCTAATTAAAATAATAATTGCACAAGTTTACAACGTTTTCGCTCATGTCAATTAAAGACTGTTTTCCATTGGCTTTGTTTCTCTGAATACGAATATATTAACAAAAAAATTTCTAGAAATATCTCTATCGCAATTTAAAAGTTTTACAATACACAGTAAATGCCCAAATTGCTTAATAAAGCATAAAACTTAAGAAATATAACATTCTATGTTTGCAACAATTTATTTATAATTTGGAAGAAATATTAAAAATGTTTTTTTTTTTAATGAACCTTTGACCTCTTGTAAGCCATTGAGTTTCTCTTAGAAGAAATTAGTAATAAACATGCATTCGTTTTACCATCTTTGATGTCGCCACAACTGATAGTCTTGATGAAATCGCTTGCCTCGTCAAATCTACACATCACTAGTGGCTCCTAAATTTTCTGTAAAATTTCCTAAGTGAGAAAGCAAACTTTTAATGAGGTAATCTTCCATTTTCTTTCAATAGTTTTCAGAGAAATCACAAACTAGTTGTTCATAATTATTTTGTCCCCTTTTGTCTTTGTTTTGCAAGTTTGTACCACAAACATAACAATCCGTTATCCGTTTCATGGTTACTAGGTTCGCTCCACATTGGCACTCCGAATTTTAGGTGCACATTGCTTCCCGAGGCCCATTTACTTAATGTCAGGCAACTTTTACTCCAGCCCTGAGGTATTTTTGTTAAGATTTGCAACCGGAAATCCAAAAGAGATCAGATAATCGTTTTCAACGGATTCCGTTATTCTGGCTGCTTGTTTACCAAGGGCGTATTAACCACACACCCACAATTTATTTGGTTTGTTTTTACACTGTCTCGTACACACTTTTAACACAGTTTGCACGTTACAACACGAGTACACAACTATACATGAAGCGCACAATGCGCTTGATATTCTTTATACGTAGGGGCGGGTTTTTTACAGGGAAGGGTTTTAGGGGATATCTAAAAAATTCCTGAACTTCTCGGATTATTCGAAATTGCATTCTCGTCTTCTGTAAAGCTCCACATGGTTGTATTTATTGGTCATAATTCATTGTTGCCAATATGACTTAAGACGTTTAAATTTATGGTATTTATTGATTGAGCAAAAACAAACAAAGTTGTAAACTAGTGTTGTTATGAAATGAAGTAGGTTTTTTATTAAAATGTTCATAATCCTACGGACATTTTGTGAAATTGATGTGAAACTTTTTGTAGCGAAAGTATCATTTTATATGCAATGTTGGATGTGTCCAATAATGGCGAACGACTGGTAAATACTTTCGCTATTTTATAGCACACTGTTGATCACTTTTTTTTTCACGGCGCGAACACTGTTCTACCAGCGATTATTCCTACCCGGGGCCGCGTGTCGCGACGAAAATCATTCACCGCCATAAGGTAGAACATAGCTGAAAGGATTAGTCCATAGGAGGCCGTTTAATACCTTAGATATCGTAGTTACTAACACGCTGCTTGGCCAAAGTACCTTCGGTGCGCGAAGAGGGTGTCCCGTGGGCGTTCGCACGTTCAGGGAAGGACTTTGGCCGTGCAGGAGGTCGCATGTGTCAAGTCGACGTGGCCATTAACTGATTTCAATGTTTCAATGTTGCATACCGTGCTCACGCAGTCCTACGTAAGTGAGACTATCCTGGGGCCGATATTGGCGAACGGGCCTCGATCTCGGCTGGCCCAACTGATCGCTCGCTCGTATTTTCAGGAGACGACGACTCCCTACGACGTGGTACCTTCCATGAGGCCCGTGGTGCTGGTCGGGCCGTCGCTCAAGGGCTACCAAGTGACGGATATGATGCAGAAGGCACTCTTCGATTTTCTCAAACATCGCTTCGAAGGCAGGTCTGTCGAGGCTGCTTAGATATCGTCTTACTCCTGCGTCCCCTGACCTCTTTCTATTGCTAACGAAGAAAAACGGACAGCTATGAGTCCTAAAGCTGACTTTCTTTCTCGCGCTAGCAAGGAAAAACGGACGCTGCCATTAATTCTTTTTACGTGCGCGCGTTCACGTAGCTAAATCTTGCTTGACCTACGGCATACATTATTGTTACAATATCTTATACGTGAACAGAATATGCCGTGTGACAAGTTTTTAATAAAACTTGTATGTTAACATTGCCAATTTTATCCGAAATTATTTATCATTGCAGAATTATTATCACAAGGGTAATGGCGGATATATCGTTAGCGAAGAGGTCCTTGCTGAACAATCCAACTAAAAGAGCAATCATGGAACGATCGACCAGTAGGAGCAGTTGTTTAGCGGAAGTTCAACAGGAGATCGAGAGGATTTTCGAACTTGCTAGGACTCTTCAGGTTCGTAAAAAATGTAAAATCTATTAAGTTTCGAACGTTTCTCAATAAATTTTCCATGAACAATGCGAACGCGACAGATTAACTTAAGTGTCAGATAAATTAACCGAGCTAATGCAATTCCAGCTAGTTGTTTTGGATTGCGACACCATAAACCACCCGTCGCAATTGGCGAAGACCAGCTTAGCGCCCACTATCGTTTACTTGAAGATTTCTTCGCCGAAGGTGCTGCAGAGGTTGATCAAGACTCGAGGAAAGTCGCAGATGCGTCACCTTAACGTACAAATGGTGGCCGCGGAAAAGTTGGCGCAGTGCCCGCCAGAGATGTTCGATGTCATCCTGGACGAGAATCAGTTAGAGGAGGCATGCGAACACGTGGCCGAGTACCTGGAAGCTTACTGGAGGGCGACGCATCCGCCCGACTTTTCGACGGTGCCACGCGCCGTGCCTGCACCCGACGCACCGGCGGACACGTACCCGCAACGCGTGCCATCAGGTACCACGTTTGTTTCGATACATCGAAAATCATTGGTCGCACTTATAAATGTTTCTTGGAGACTTGCAGATCTATATATTCCCAACCGAACGTGAAACGAATAGCTTCAGATTAATTCACGACAGGTAGATCCGCGTCGCAGGAATCAGAAGTGTTGTATTTGCGTGTCGAGGAAATTATGTCAGACACCGAGAATTCCAAATCGGTCAAGGACGATTTCGTCTCGCACGAATCATAATGGAATCCGGGACAATGAGAAAGATATTAAATAGCACGGGTAAAACATCAGTACTCGGGTGCCAATATTTCGGCCATTCGATAATAGTTTTGTGGAAAGCGTCCAAAACGTAAAGCCGGCCACGATTTACGACGAATCTATCGCTTCTGGCAGCGACATCGTTGCGTACGACGCAAATCGACGCGTAATACGTCGATTGACGTCTTTGGCGCGGTCGGCCAGAAATCGAACTCGTCCGCGAATATATTTGGCAATGCTTTAAGGCTGGAGAGGCCGAAATGCTGGGCTTCGAGAAAATCATATCGCTTAGGGTATCTCGGGAAAATAATTTTATATTACGTTATTAATACACATTTGAGTATCTCATAGCATTTCACACGACATAATCCGTCCATATGTTTCACGTGCCTTGAGATGCCTTCCTTCAATAACCCGATCTCTCGCTCGCGCTTTCTAGCCCCCTCAAAAACATCTAACGGTGTCCAGTTTTGCCACTAACATTCGATACTTTCTTCTTGTCCTCTCAGGTGCCCCTCATGAGCCTTACTATCATCGAAGAGGTAACCCAATACTTTCCTTCAACATGTTTTTGCATACACTTTCGCATTCCTTATTTTTATCTTCATTTAGCACATGTAGTTTGCTAACTGCACGTCAACGTCGCATGAAAGTATTATAGAATCCCTCTCGAAAACCCGCCAGAGACCAATAGTTAATATAATTTGAATATTATGAAATGTACACATCATATTATTGATATCATATAAATTTCTGTTTCATCACAACACGGCATCAAACTTTAATATACGAAGTAGATTTCAATTTCACTCGATTTATATACCAACATTCCAGTACTTTCTTTTTTTATAATATTTTTATACAGGGTGTACTAAAACCACCGGATATCCTTTGAATCGCAGATTCCTTAGAAAAGTTCAAGAGGAAAATTCTAATAAAAAAATTTCGAGGCTATGATAGTTTTTAAATAATAAGCGATTATATTTCACAAATGACAGGTCTGAGATTTCGCGCGCTCAGGCGCGGCGACATGACGAGTGATAAAAGTGTTCCTATGTGTTTAACGAGCGAGCGAGAAGCAAAGTCACCGTTGAACGGGACAGAAAACATTTGGGAAGGCGATGATCCGGTCATTTTGAAAACTTGAGGATAAAGAGAGGCGGGAGACTAGATTGAATCTAACTGAAAATTCCAAGTTCACTCAGAATATCGGAGACCGACTAAATCGAAGGATATCAGTCTGATCAAGATGCTCATCAAAGTGAACCCCTGCCTTTTATTAATAAGACGTTACACAAAGTTAACAAAAGAAATGGTTAAAGATAACAGGAGGAACAATTAATTCGAGAATGAATCGTTAAGTCTGTTGTGAAAGTTGTCGCTAAAAAGGGCGACATTCGTAGGAACACCTTTATCACTCGTCGTGTCGCCGTACCTGAGCGCGCGAAATCTCAGGCCTGTCATTTGTGAAATGTAATCGCTTATTATTTAAAAACTATCATAGCCTCGACATTTTTGTATTAGAATTTTTGTCTTGAAAGTTTCTAAAGAATTTATGATTAAAAGGATATCCGGTGGTTTTAGTACACCCTGTATAATACAATTTAAATGTCAATCACTTGTTACATTCTCTGCATAATTATAACATCTAATTTTTTTATGCACGTACATTACACGTATTTTGATGTTACTTGTAATTTTATATACAATTATACAGGGTGAGTCTTTCCATATCCGACAAAATTTTTGAGAAGGTAGAACGGATCGAGATGAACGGAAAAGTCCTGTACCATTTTGCAATTTTCGTAATAGTTAACGAGTAATTGATTGTGAAAAATCGTTGTCTTAGGCCGGCCTACCGCCCAATTCGAGCGCGTGGCGAGATGTGCGCATAGCAATATCGATCGCCGGGCGGTCACATCTTGCCACGCGCTCAAATTGGGCGGTAGGCCGGCCTAAGACA